GGTTTCCAGACAATATTAAAAAGATAAAAATGAAGAGTTAGCAAGGGGCTTGGAAAAGACATTTCTCTCAAGAGGACATATGAAGACCCAATAAGCGTGTACGGAGATGCTGAAGAGTTAATGGTGGAAGACACGATCCAAATGACAATAAGCTACAACCCCAGTCTTCCTGGCCACATTCAAACACAGGGGACATTCTACATGCTGAGGAGGACATGGAGAATGGGAAGCCACCAGCGTCACTGGAGAGAAAGTGAAGGTGCCTGGCCATTATGGAAAACACTTTGGTCATGCTTCGACCATGTAAAACTAGAGTTTTATACAACCTAACAGTTTTATTCCCGAGCTACATACCCAAAAGAATGGGAAATAGATCTTCAAACAAAAAGTGTCCATGGACAGTGACACCTGACACATTGATACATGAACACTGACAACCACCAAAGGGCAGGGGAAGAAAACCCGAATGCACATCACTGGGCGACAGAAGACAAATGTGATCTGCCTAGATAGTCAAATCGCTGCACTCTCACGATGTTCCAACTCACCGCCTAAAAACGAGTGAACCTCAGAGCCGCCACATCTCAGGAAGGAAGCCAGACGCAAAGGACCATGCATTCCAGTTTATATAAAACCAGCAGAGCGGGCAAGTCCACAGAGATGGGCAGCCGGCTGTCACTGCCAGGACTGGAGAACAGGAAGGGGAGTGGGTGCGAGCACACGTGGAGGTGCTGTTTGCTTTGGGGTCACCCCTGCCCCTGAAGGCGGGCAGGGGTGGTAACTGCTGAGCCTCGAGGGTACTAAAACACCGAAGGGCGGCCTTTAAAGGGTTAAAATGACCAACGTGGCAACACAGCCATTCATCTGATTAAAGAAACCATTCTAATGCTGCTTGTTCTGTGTATTTACCCCTTGAGTAGCTGTGTGACCTCTGTCAAGCAACTTAACCTCTCTGAGTCCCAAGGACTTTGCCGTTACAAGCAGCTTCTACCAGGGTGGTTTTAAGGAGCCAACAAGCGGGATAGGAATATTCCAGTGGTGAATCCAGAGGGAACTACTGGGGTTCTTCCTTTTGTCCTTTGTCAAGGAGTACTTTTGCTTCTAGATAGGGGGCAAAGTCCTTCCTGTGGGGAGGCAGGTCAGCACTCAAAGCTGAGGAAAGATAGACACACAGCCATGAGGAAGACGAAAGACTTCCTTTTGCCCTGGACACACAAATGTCTGCGAGCCACAGTGACAGGGAAGAGAAACTGTTCCTGTATGGTGAGGGTAGGAACTGTCCTCAAATGAGACACTCAAGGTACATCCCGGTCCCTCAAAGTCCCCCCTCCCAGGCTTAGAATGAATCACCCCAAAATCCATATGTTGAGGTCCTTACTCCCTGCTCCCCCAGATCTCAGAATGCAAAGGTGAAATGGGAGCCTGGGCCCTGAGAGTTACAGGAGCCAGGAATACAGCCCAGTGGGAAGAATGTTGGCCTGGTGCTAACACAGTGCTGGGTTCGAACCCAAATATCTCATAAACTCAGCACAGGGGGCTCAGGAGTTCGAGGTTGTCCTTGGCTACCCAGCAAGTTCAAGGCCAACTTGGAAAACACAAAGACCTCATCCAGGAGGGAAGAAGAGGAGGGAGGGAGGGAAGAAGATACAACAAGAAGACAAGCAGTT